GCCTTAGCCGGTTGAGCTATAGGCGCCGAGCCGATCAAGACTCTTTGGATGTGTCTCCAGTCATGGTTTTCAAATTAGGATTAGAATAAAACACTAAAAGTTATTTCAGAGCTTGGATCATTTCTTTCCCAATTGTCTAGTAAAGTGAGGGATGGGCTATCAACAGCCCTTCAGAGAGCAGGCATACCCCAGTGTCATCAGAGTCCAGGGCAGTCCAGTAGGAATGTCCCTGCCAAGGACTTAAGAAATGTGGGAAGAATTTAGAGTGGACTCTCAATTGCACCCCTGGCTGCCATTTCACTTATTGTGCATTGTCAGCTGGGTAAGGGCCTGCATGGGATGTGGTTATTTTGTGAATGATACCTGGTTTCGAAAGACTCCTCTGTAGAGGGGGACAGGTGACTTGGTTCTTTTCACCTCAAAGCACAGCCAGGTACTTTTGTCATCAAGCCACAGAGAGTTCCGAAAGTGGATGCTGAAGTCTTTTTGACGTATCCTATCCAAAGGGCTTCTGCAGGCACAAGAGAAAGATAAAAGAAACTGTCCCCTGGGGTTCCTACAGTCTCGGGGCTATTGGGATCATCTTCCTGCACCCACTAAGCCCCTGCTGTCTTTCCAGGCAGGAAGACTGGGGAAAGAGGAAGAGGAGGGGATGGTGGCAGGGGTAGCAGGTGGGGGTGACCTCTCCCAGCTCTGGTCCTTCCTGTGGGACAACTCCATCTTCCCAGTGTTTTTGTCCAGCCCTCCCCCAAAGCTTCAGAAATAAACAAAGGAAAAGTCCCCAACCCAAAATAAGAGTTTTTTACATTTCAGCTCTGTATTTGAAACATAACCTGTCTCCCAGGTTATGTCAGAAGTCAGTCTCTTCCCCCAACTATTCTTCCTACTTAGCAAGGATTTCTTGCCCCTAAACAGAATTACATATTCTCCCTTTCCCCACTATAAAGGCATGTACAAAAATGTCTCAAGTTCATTGGCACATTGTGTAACCAGTCCGTGGTTTCCCCACTTCTGTTATCAGTGTCTTAATTCTCAATTGATCTCTCAGTGAAACTTCAAGTTTCCTCTCAGCCCTGTGTTAAGTAAAGAATAAAATTCTCAGCTTGGCGTCTGTGGCTCAAGTGGCTAAGGGGCCAGCCACATATACCTAGGGTGGTGGGTTGGAATCCACCCTGGGCCCGCCAAAACAACAATGACCGCTGCAACCAAAAAATAGCCGGGCACCTGTGGTCCCAGCTACTTGGGAGGCTGAGGCAGGAGACTCGCTTGAGCCCAGGAGTTGGAGGTTGCTGTGAGCTGTGATGCCACGGCACTCTGCCCAGGGGGACAGCTTGAGGCTCTGTCTCAAAAAAAATAAATAAATAAATAAAACTCTCTACCCCAGAATACTTTGTAACATTTCAGCTCCATTCATTTCTTGACTTTCCACCTGCCCATGTCACTCTGAGCACCCCATGGGCACACCCTGGCTACTGTACTACTCACTGCATGTATCTGGGCACCTGTTACCTGCCTAAAGCCTGTGGGGCATCCTCATTTTACAGATGAGGTGACAGAGGCACACAGGGGCAGGGTCACAGAGCTGATGAGTGATGGGGCTGGGCCTCCTGGCCAGACCAAGTCCAGCGGCTGCATCCTGTGACCTGCTGGAGTATACACCAGCGACCCAGCTGTCCTCTGTACTATAGTTTACAGTATCAGCCTTTCTCCTGATCCTTGTTTTTCTCCCATTCCATTTGCATCCCTTTTGCATAAGGTGAGCATGATCACGGAGGCACTACAGCAGTTAGCGGCCCCTTTCCTTACTCCCCCAGTTACAGTGCAGAAGTCCTTGGAAAGAGAATGTATCTTCTGGCCTCAGTGAGGCCAGTTCTCCCTTCTCCACCCTCTCCTAAGTTTTGGTGTGGAAACTATGTAAATATTACACAAAATCCAGCAATGTCTTGGAAGAGAATTGTTAGTAGTTCTCCCTGGTGAGAGACTTCAGGAATGGAGGGTGGTGACTAGCCAGAGCTTCCAGTGAGGCTGGGAGGTGGGGGAGCAGAGTCTGGGGGGAGGGGGCACAGATCAGGGCAAAGACCCTAGAGCTTCTGAAGAATAAGCCCAGGCTGGAACTTCATGGAGACCAGGAGGCACTCCACGGGGGCCACCAGGCCTGCATGAATAGTAGGAGCTCAGGGCAGAGGTACCTGATCTGTGGGTTCATGCTACAGCCTCCTGGACCGGGTTGTCCCTGCCGTGTTCTTTGTCTGGGGCTTGTGACTCTGCCTATAGGGTCCTCTTCTAGGCCTTAAATCTGAGGGAGACCTCCTAGGGCCACCTGAGTAGAGGCCTCACCCCACCCTGGGAGGTTTAGCTTGCTGAACCTCTGAAGTAACTTTTCTTTTTCTTTCTTTTTTTTTTTTTTTTGAGACAGAGCCTCAAGCTATCCCCCTGGGTAGAGTGCCGTGGCATCACAGCTCCCAGCAACCCCTCCAACTCCTGGGTTCTTGCCTCAGCCTACTG